TGAATATCATTTGACTTAAAGATCAAATTATGTTTATGCACACGGAACAATAAGGGATACACTAACATTCACCCAGACTGAGGCAAGTGTAGCTTCCTTTCGAAAAGGAGCTCAATGTGAAAAAAAATCCTTTTCATTGCAACAACATCATTCTTAAAAGGTGCCAAAATGACTTAACTTTTCAAAAGACACAAAAACATCAAAAAAATTCTAAAAACGTTAGTCACCACATTTACTGGCATTTTTAAAATAAACTTAAAATTGGAACCTAAATTAATCCTCCATATACCAGAAGTGTCAAATAGGCTTTAAGGAGTGGGAGAACCTGATTCTGCATCACTGTAACATTTCCTAGATATCTGTCTTTTGTATCAAGGCTTTGGATTAATATCGTCCCCTTCTCAGCAGCAAGAAGAAAGACAAAGTATGCAGCAGCAGATTTAAAAATGCACTACCTCTTTTGCAAACCACTTAACAGTAGCTTTGGCTGAAGAAAACAGATCCTTCTTACAGCAGGAAGGATAAAAATACCACTTTCAATTGCATAGTTGTGCCTATTTTTTCTTTTCTCCCACAAACATTCATTACTCTCTTAAAAACAACAAAAATACCATAAATAAAAACTCAGATTCCTCTGTCATTTTATACCTGATATCCTGGAACGTGGGAAAGAGTTCACTCTCATAGCTGAAACGTTTCTTAAAGAACTCTTTAATACATTTAACATCTCTATCAAAATACCTGAAAAAAAAAAAACACAGAATTGCAGAAACATATCATCAAGGTAATGAAATTTATTGCAGTGATCAGCTTTTACCCTGAGCGTCTTGTATTTTAAGGTTTTATTTAAAAAGTAATGATCTACTAGTGATCTCACGAAAAAAAACCAAGGGAGACAAACTGCTGACGTGCTGTTGATTTCTAAACTTTTCTTTTCTGAAAGACATTCTCTTCAACAACCAGTTAACTGCGTATTTATCCTAAAGAGACGTTTCTCCCCATTCATAAAATCAGACTAGATTTGTTATGTTATTTGTGTCCCTTGACAAAAACGGGGGAAAAATAATATTAGAAACAGATTTATGAAAAAGAGGACTCATGGTTGGCCATTTGCTGTTATCATCATTTGCTAGATTTATTTTGAAAATATCTTCAGCTTTCCACCTACCATTCAGCATTTGGATGTGATGTTGATATCATCTGAGGGAAATCAATCATGGTGACACGGTCATCGTTATCTAATATGAGATTAAACTCATTGAAATCACCATGAATCAAACCATGATTAGCAAGTTTTACAATCAGATCCATTAATTCACTGTAGACAGAGGCAGGATCTTCCATTTGGCGCACTTGGCATCTGGAAAGTTAAATAAAATAAAATATCCTGAACTTTCAAGGACTGAAGTTATATGAAATACATACAGGGTAGATGAAATGCATCTTACAGGATCACTGGGTAATTCAGGCTGCAAGAGGCCTCATGAGATCTGTAGTTCAACCTCCTACTCTCAGTAGCGGCAATAACTAGGTCTTTCTGTAGTCAAATCGATAGGCCCCATTACATTTCCTTTCCTAAAAATGTATTTTCTAGACTAACTTACAGGAAAGCACAACAAACAAACAAAAACCCCTTAACGCCTGAACCTAGACCAGTGAGAGCAAAGCAGCTTAACAGGGCAAAATGCAGATCATCTTTTCACAAGCAGACTAAGAAAGAAGGCACTTGCTTTGTTACACTAAGCGCCGTCAAGAAGAGGTCAGCATTTGCAGTTACTTCTTAAGATACTTTGCTCTGAATGCAGCACTACAGTGTTATGAGAATGAATCATTTTCATATAACGCAAAGAAAGTACCGTGGAAGTCTAGCAGCTTTGTAACAGGCTGCTGCCCAAAATGCTCATATTGGTTCAAAAATTAATTGGCAGTACTTCCCATATAGCCACAAGTCCATATCATAAAATATCCCATTCATTCTTTCAAAGGCATTTATTCCTTCTTCCACCTTACTCTTCAATTCACCTAAGTTTTGGGATTAGTTCTCTTTTGATTAAAATGCCCATTACAGATACAGACTGTCATATCAGAGCATGACTCGATTTGTTCTAGAACTGAGCACTTCAAATCTCTAGGTAAGGACCCAGGTTGTTTTGGATTAGACTGACTATTAAACAGACCTTACGCGTTCAGCAATGCAAACAAACCAACCTGTCTTTTCACGTACAAACTTCAATGATATTTAATATTCCTAGATGTTAAACAACTCAATCAATGTAACATTCCTTGAAGCAACAACAATAAAGATAATTATACACGATGTTCTAGGTACACAAAACAAAGAAACTCATTTTTTCAAAAGAAGTTGTAAAATGGTGAGCCGCAATCTTAGCTGAATTACCACAGCAAGGATCATGAGCTGAAGCCAAAGACAGATCACAACGTGAAAGACATACAGGATACACAATTTCTATGCAGAAAACACTTGTAATATTATCCTGTGCCTCACTGCTCTTTTGATGTATTCCCTACTTTAACTATCAGTCTATTTCAGCAATTTCTTCGGACAAAAGAAATACTAGCTTCTTTGAATAAAGAGATAACAGACAGAACACTGTAACGAGGCAGAACCCTAACCCGTGTAGGCTAGAGGACAACATTCAGCAAAGTGAAGTCATAGTTCACCCATATGCTGAGGAAAAGCACCAGCCCTATTACCTTATCGAACCTAAAGTTATCAGGGTTTCTATTACACAGAGAATTCAAGCTTCAGTACTTACAAGGGATAGCCATTAATAAGTTCCATAACTACTGCATGCCTGTTGTAGTCTACAGCTTTTGGCACAGGAAATTTTCTGTCATGCAGTGCCTGGAAAGAGACAACAATTATGTTGAAAAATTAAAGTCAGTGGTTAAGAAAACATTACATATGTTAACAAACTCCCATCTACGCTAAGCAATAAATACTGTTGTGGGAGTAGCACAGTACAGACTTCTCCGATGCTAACGAGAAGCAACAAAGTACGTGCTCCAAGTGGGAAGGCAGCATGACATCCCTCTGAATTTTCACTGCAAAGACAGAGGACATTCATAAATTTAGACGCTAAACAGGCTTCTGTTTCGTCCACAGTTTACTTACCTCGCATCTGGAGGAAAAAGAAAACAAAGACTGGGAAAAAGACAGAATCATATCTAGTCTGATAGTGTAAGTAATCAACAGCAGATAATCAGGAATAGCGTGGCAGGCATTAGAAAAAGATTCCCCCTTTTAAGTTGTTGTCAGTTCAGTTCTGTCTGGCTTGTTAGCTCAGTAAACATACCGAGTTTCTATAAGGCAGAAGTTCATTTCTTAAATATTTAAGAGCCAGCATTACACCGTATTACAGATTAATAAATGGAAGTCATAATATTGCACAGCACTCCTGTTAGCCTTTTCTGATGCAAATTTTGTCATTCACTTGATCCAACACTCAACTTCTTTATTGGTTTGTTCTCTTCTTGCTCATTCTCTCGTTAGCAGTGACTTTCTCTAAGAGAAAATTCTAAGTTATAGCAACATAAATTTAGCTTTTGTTACTGAAGTTTTACACTATTTTCACTTTTTCGCATGCACTTAATACTCTCCATCATCCTCCCTTTTCAGGGAAATTGATTCCAAGGTCCATATTTCTACAAGTCCTGGCCACACAATGATTTACATTGTGGACCAATATACCAATACAGAGTTTCTAAATGATGCTAGTAGTCCTTTTTCTCTCTGGGATGGCCACTGGTAGAACCTAAGGACAATCACGATTTTTAAAAGAAACGAGAAAATCGTATTTAATGTATATAGAGATGTTGAATATCACAAGAGGAGAAGGGGAAGGTAGTTCTTGATAAATAGGTTTCCACTATCAACTTGTAATCTTTTACAGATATCTGCAGTTTTAAAGCAGGTCATAAAAATCTGGAACTCAGAGAGAGCAGAAATACACGCTTGGAAATGAAATTTACTTTCCCTCGGTACAGAACAAAGCGTACCTTTTCAGCTCAGAACGCCAGTTTGCACTGACAGAGTACGCTCAATGGCACAGCAACAACTGAACACCATGGTAAATAAAAAAATACAGTAAAACAGCAGGACAAAAACAAGTGTCTGACAAATGACAGAGTAACAGTAAATAGCCTCTTCTTTTTTCATTTGCAAGCTCATGCAAGGAATTTATAGGAGAAGCAGCAGAACTGGTTATATATAAAGTAGAATCTTTGCATTTCCCACATACTAGGAATCTTAGGTGTTGCTAAGTAAGAACTCTGCAAGTAGTGCTGGGAAGGGAGAGGGGTGCTGGAGGCCCAACTCTTTTTAAAGACTGATGCCCAAAGCTGAACATGAAAACTGTTGCCTGCAACCTCAGTATTGAATTCCTACAGATGTTTCAGCCTTTAATGCAAATGAAATATAGTTAACACCTCAAATGAGTCACTAATTGATAAAAGAACTATCTCTTGCTTTAGAATCTGATATAACAACAGAAACAAATTTGATTTTAAATATGAATGACTCCTATCCTGATGAAAAGAGAAATCTAATGTACTTTGACAGAAAATTACTGCCAGCCTGCACATATGGGCATGTTTTAAAACACAGAATTTGGTCAACTCACCAATTAAATTCCCTGCATTAAGATCTATACGGCCTACTTCTGTGCTAGAGTATTATTACCGGCGCAAAAAGAAAAATCCCAACTCAATCAATCCAAAGTCGTTGATTTACTGCTCTTAAAACGCTAACTCTCAAGTGACTGAGTGCTCTTTTACTTCTAATAGATACGAACATGAATCTCAATAAGCAAGTAAGTCATCGAGAGAACCATTTAACTGAATTCCAACTATCATTAAAATTCTAAAGAACTTACTAAACACTTCATTTGAGCATAGCAAACAGAAGCAGAGACGTACTTGAATGGCATCCCATGAACAGGTTGTCAAGAAAGTTTGTGGAATCTCCATCCTAAAAAATTGTCAATACTCAGAGGATAAGGCCCTGAATGACCCGATCTGACCTTAACGCTAGCTCTGCTTTGGGCGGGAAACTGGAGTAGAGTGGGACCTTCAGAAGTCCCGTCCAACCTAAATTACAGCGTATCTTTTAGGCAAGACAGGTGCCAGACAGGTATCACTGAAACAAACTATTTGTGTTCCAAATTAGATATATGCATAGTTTGAAATTTGTTTGAAACTCACCTGACTACAACTCTAAAAACGCCCTGGAATTACGTGTGCAGAAAGAATCCAAATTAAAACGTAGTCAAGATGGTAAGGCATAACTTTGTCTGCATTTCACAAATTTTCTCCAGTAAACGTATTCATGGACCAACAAAATGATATAGGAATGTTTTTCTTGGCTTTTCCAAAGAAGTGAAGTGCAATGACAGTGTATTTAACCACTGCTTTGTTAAGATACAGGTGATTGGACAGCTTCGTATGTCATTTGTCCATAAATAACACTATCCACCTAAACTTCTCATAAGAAATCCTTTTCCACGCCACATGACTTTCGTGGCGTAGCCTCATTTTGCTACTGGAAAGCATACAAGAAATATATCGCTGAAATTACCCAAAACGTGTAGTTCAAGTCCAGTAGAGAAAACGTGTAGATCTTTTTAATACTGCAAATATGAATGAACTGAAACAAAATCCAAAGAGTATCTTCCAGTTTATTACACCTTTGTTGATTTAGTGTGAAGGGCCACCTACCTTCATGTAGGCAAACTCCTTCATTGCTGCTAGCCGGGATAAATACAGCCATGACATTTTATGCCTGTGCTTGTGGTAGTCACGTTTATTTTTAAGGCTGCGAAAGGAAGTTCTTCCAAGCCTGTGCAATTTCAATGCAAACTGCTGCTCCTCTTCATTTGCAACAATATAAATATCTAGAAGACGAAAGAAATACTAGTTTACATCTAAGAAATAAAACAAGCTAGCGTCTGATGGAAAAGTGCTGTGAGAAATTTGTTGCTTCACTTCTTACAATTGCTACTTCCAGCACGGCGAGATCACCTACGCTTACTCTGAGAGTTACTAAAGACAGCTATATTTACATATTGTACGTTATTGTACATATTGAACTACACGAAAAGAAGTTACTGTCAAAGAGATCATGGTATCCCATTAAAATAAACTGCGATGTGATCTGAAACATAATTCAGAGTGAGAGAGAAAAAAAATGACTGAAAGGAGGAACACAGATGATTCGGACCTGACTTAAGGTACCTATATTCAGGCCAATTTCTCCAGTCTATCGATATAGCAAAGAAGAAATACAAGCTCCTCTAGAGGGAAATTTAGGGCAGAAGCCAAACTCTGCTGTTCTTAACCACACTCTCTTTCTGGGGGACTCTCTCTCTTTCTGTTGACTGGACAGACAACCCAAGAGACTAGCCTCTTAATAACGGCCTATGTTTCATTTCTGCCATTTGTCCTCATTAATGGTCTTCCTCATTCTTCAAGGAGTTTCGTGCTGTGCCAGACGAAAATCGACACGAACTTAAGAACAACTAAGATAGTACTCCAATAGTTCTAACGCTATTTTAGCCTCCTATCTCATTTTTAGGTGGGCGGAAAAAAGTTAAAGTTTTCTTTTTGTAAAAAATGGTTCAAAATTCTTCACGACGCGTGAGACAAAATCCATCTGCCTACAGAGTTTCCAGTGATAAGCTAAAAATCAGACAGAACGGTCAACGTGAAAGGCCAATCTTCTGTAGAAAAAACTGAAACGCAGCCAGCAGCCTCACACAGCATTTCAAATAGTGATCCATAAATCTTCAGTGTTTGACAGATTGACTGACATGTTTATCCAGAGGAAATTTTACTCAATTTCTAGCAAAACACTTGGCGCATTACAGCTTTATTTGCTTAAAAATTATCAAAAACATTTTTTCGAGTTACCTGATTCTTTACCAACACCCATCTGGTTTCCAACAGAACTGATGACTTGCCGGGACGACAGTGTTTTCAAAGCAAGGTAATCATATCCTGCATTAGTTAACCGGTAGCCCTGGACAGCTAAATGAGAGTAAATTGCAAAACGTTTAGTGCTTATTATGTACACATTACGTTTAAAAGAAGTATCATTTTGGTTTACTTTCTTATTTCAATTTATGGTAGGCAAAAACCTATTTTTTCCCCTGCTGGTTAATATCAACCCAGTTTGACAGAACGATAAAGATGTTTAAGGACCTCCAAGTTTTAGGAAAGCTAACAGCTGGGTAAAAAGACAAATGTGCTCTTAGCCTCTCACTAATGGAGGCAATGGTAGTAGTCTAGATAGCATGGGAAAACCCAAAGAGTGTTCTGGCGGGTAGGGGACATAGACAGGATTTGGGATTTTCTGGATGATCTAGAGGGATCCTCACCCTGAAACCTCTGAAGACCTGAGCCCGAGAGGAGCGGGATTTCATGCAACTCCCACAGTGTGTTTGCAAAGCCCCATGCAACTGCAAGGCTGAACGAAAGGACCTGCACAATTGCTACTTGTCACATGATGGGGAATAAAAAAATGCATTAGTAACTATTTCTGATGGGGTGAAGGGCACCAGATTCTTTTGCAGTCTGCTCCAGTTTGCGCGTTCTGATAAGTCGGTAACTCATGTGGGTTAATACCCGTATATTGGGGAAAGCTCAATATAAAATTCAAACCCACTTTTTGTTCGCTCATAGGCCAGCAGTTTGTGCTTTGCCAGCTCTCTCAAAATTTTGTTGCAGCCTCCATGTTTAAGGCTGGCGATGGAAGCGATTAAGCTAGCAGGGACTATTTCATGGTTCTTCATGCCCATTTCCACCTAAAACAGCAAATGAAAAAAGAATGTTTCTGTTAGCCCTGCAGTTCGACAGTGAGATAACATCAGATGCACGAAGAGACTGAAATCACTTTTCACGGGTGCCTTATAAATAGCATTTTTTTAAATTAACGCTGCTAATTTATAAAACTAATTCAAAAGTTTGGTTAGCAGTTGTTGACGCACCA